AATTGCAGAACCATTTTTTTGGTCCTCGATACACCGGGGAAAAGTTGCGAGTATTAACTTCTATTCTTCGAGTTAGTGAAAGGGGTGCATTAGAGTCAATTGGAGATCGAGTAGTACACTACTTAAATTCGATTTGAGTTAAAAAAAATTTGGACTTGAACACGAGTTTAAACTTATTGAACTCTTGAGAGTTGTGCAAGAGATAGAGTTCAATTTTGATTTTTTTTACCTTGCTCGAACTTGATCAAATCGAGCCCAATCAAGTTTAATCGAGTCCAATCAAATTTAAGTAGTATAAATTTATATTTTATATTATTTTATACAAAGGGCAAGATAGACTTTTACACTAATAAATAAAAATTTTTAAAAAATATAAATGTGAAGCACAATTAAATTGGATTAAGTTCGACGAGCTTTCGAACTTAACATATTAGGTTTGGACTTGAACTCGTCAAGTTATTTGAATTAATTGAATTCAAGCACAAAGTCAATCAGCGTGAGTTTGAACTCAAATTTTGACCGTATAAGTTAGCGAGTTACTCAATTGACTTCCAATCGTTTTGCACTTAAGAACGGACCCTTAGCGTCACAAGACTCGCAACCAATAACGTGAATGGGAAAATCGAATAGAAATGTACATTACTGAGTGGAAACGTGTATTATATGAAGTCAAATTATGTGCACATTTTTTTATCTCACATGTGCTACAAGTTTGGTATACACTAAAAGAGGGAGAAGTAAAGGCATATTGCGTTTTAAATCCTCATATTTTTTGTTACTCCACAAAGTGGTAAGTTTACAATAAAAACATTGGCCAGAAAAAATTTTATACTTATGTTCTGAGTTAGGCATGAGAAAACACAATTTAAACCACCAAAATATTAAGAGTTAAATTTTCTATTTCTGCCTTAATTATACCCAATTGTAGTTAGGCATTTACTGCACTTTGCCCCTGATAAATCATTTTATCAACAACTTGTCCTCTAAGACTAGCGGCTAACTATATAGGATAATTTTACCGTCCAAGAGCATAAGAAACAAATCTTTTATACCCTTGCATATTTAGTGCACTACCACATTTGCCCTTTCTTATCCATTTTTTCCTTTTCTTTTTCATCTCTTATGAATGTATTGCTGCTTTTCTCACACTAGTTACAATCATTCGTATAAAAATATTTTTCTATTTAGCCTTATTTTAATTTATTGTAAGTTTTAATTTGTTACATTCATTTTAGAAATTGGTTAGTCACTATGCGTTTTAGAGCTGAATTACTTGACTAAATATGATTTAAAATTAAAAGCCACGTCTTTTCATTGTGATGTATTTTTAATGCGATAGGGGAAAAAACACGGAAACTCGTAGAAAGAACTTAATTTATTTTCTTTTTAAGTTGTTGAAGAATAATCTTAGTCAATGAAATCAACATTTTGAAAGGGAGGAGTTAGTATTCTTAGTTACTTGTATTCGTTAATTACGCAGGTATCTTGGTATATGATGAATTCACTATTAAAAATGAAAAATTTAAAACAAAAAACAAAAATGATTATCATTGTTAAAAAAAAAAAAAAGAATGATCCGACATGACTTGAAAAAAATAATATTTTGAGTTTCCTAAATAGTAGGGCAAGGGGGAAAATGGTGGCATGGCAAATTGAGAAGAGAAAAGAAAATTTGAAAAAAAAAAATAGGTTAGTTCATATGTTGTATACACTGATAGTATACATAAAATTAGTCACATATACTAATTACTAAAGGCAATCGATATATCTTTTGCCATATTTTCTGATGGAGAAATCAATAATTACTGGCCGTTAATTCTTGGGGTAAAGTGATGATAAAATAATCTCAGGTGGGGCAAACTACCACTTACCCCCAAGTACTAGGAGGTCTAGTGTAATTAACTTTTTTTTTTTTTAAGAGACTCCTGGAACGAGGACTGAGCGGAGTCATGATCGAAGCAGGCGAAAGTAGTCAACTTTCGACGACAAAAACCGCGTTAAAATAATCACTCTTTCAACTGTTTCTGTCCACTGCCAATCTTTCAAGTTTATCATTTGCTAATTCTCTTCCACTAAACAACACGTTTTCGCCAAACTTTCCACATCCAGCTTCAATTTTTCTCCCCTTCAGATAGTGACTGCAGTGTTTTACTCAGCTATTTGCTGCATCCCTTTTCTTTAAATATCTTTGTCTATCCAAAAAAAAAAAACACAAAATTTCCAGTGGTAATTCATCAAGAAAGCCATGGCTGCTGCAACTGCAATTTTTCAGTACATTTTTTTACTCATTCTTGTTTATCAATTTGACCAATCGTACGGTCAGCAAAGCTATCTTAACAACAAACAGTTTGATTGTAACGTAAACTGGAGCACAGCGATGGGATTTAAATGCAATGGAGCAGCTAAATCTTGCAGGTCATACCTGACTTTCAGGGCAACTTCAACCTACAACAGTCCAGTCACCATAGCTTATTTGTTGGATACAGATGCGACTGAAATTGCCAGAATCAACAATGTTTCGGATGTGGGCAGAATTCCTTCTGGTACTTTGATCATTGTTCCTGTAAATTGTTCTTGTTCTGGTGAATTTTATCAGCATAATGCAAGTTATGTGTTGAAAGGAACCGTGGAGACTTATTATGCTGTTGCTAATGAAACTTATCAAGGTTTGACTACTTGCCAGTCACTGCAAGCTCAGAATTCGTATAATTTCAGGAATTTGAAAGTGAATATGAAGCTTAATATTCCAGTTAGGTGTGCTTGTCCTACCAAAAATCAGACTGCCTCTGGATTTAAGTATCTTTTAGCTTATCTTATAACATGGGGTGATTCTTTTGAGGCTATTGCTAGCATGTTTAATGCTGATGTGCAGAGTATATATGCTGCTAATGAGTTGTCTCCTAACCATCTTATTCATCCCTTCAATCCTCTTTTGATCCCATATAAATCTGAGCCTACTTATATCAATACCTCATTGCTTTCATTTCACCTACCTCCTTCCCCTCCACAGCTGCCTGTGGTGCCTGCACCACCTACTAGTAATAACTCCTCTCGCAAATGGGTTTTTATTGGAGTTGGAATTGGTGTTGGTGTTTTGCTGCTTTTATTGGTTGGCTTTCTTGTTTGGTTCCTGCGGTATAGGCACCGGAAAGGTACTTCACTGGCAGAGACTAAGGATCACGGTGATAACAACTTTGCTTCTGAATCTGTTGATGTTTACAGGGCTTTGCCAGAATCAGAAAGTAAGTCATGGTCTGAAGGGGTTAAGTTTGCAATTGAAAGTCTCACTATGTATAAGTATGAGGAATTGCAGCATGCCACAGGTTCTTTCGCGGAAGCCAACAGAATCAGGGGATCCGTTTATCGAGGCAATTTTAAGGGGGATTATGCAGCAGTGAAGATGATAAAAGGGGAGGCACTAGAGGAGATTAATGTACTCAAGCAAATTAGTCATTCAAATATAATAAGGCTTTCTGGTTTCTGTTTGCATGATGGTAACACATACCTTGTGTATGAGTATGCAGAGAAAGGTGGCTTGAGTGATTTGTTGCATTCTCAGAATAAAGAAAGTGATAGCTATGGTCTACTTGAAAAGGAAGGTTATTCTTCTTCATGTACATTGAATTGGAAACAGAGGGTTCAGATTGCTTATGATGTTGCTGATGCTGTAAATTATCTTCACAATTATGCTAATCCTCCTTACATTCATAAGAATTTGAAAAGCAGCAACATTCTTTTGGATGGTAACATGAGGGCCAAGGTTTCCAATTTTAGTCTTGCAAGGCCTTTGAATGCTGACAACCAAAATGAAGGGAGCTTGAATGTGCAAATGACAAGGCATGTTATTGGGACTCATGGTTATATGCCGCCAGAGTACATCGAGAACGGATTGGTGACCCCAAAACTTGATGTGTTTGCCATTGGAGTGGTGATTTTGGAGCTATTATCTGGAAGGGAGGCAATCCGTCATCAAGGTGAAGTGGGAAAGCTTGGGGAAGAGGAGTTACTCTATGCAACTATTAATAAGGTGTTAGATGGGGAAAACGTGAGGGAAAAGCTACAAGACTTTATGGATCCTCAATTCAGAAATGAGTACCCATTAGACTTGGCCCATTCAGTTGCTCAACTGGCTAGGAATTGTGTGGCTTATGATCTCAATACTCGTCCCCCGATGGCTGAGGTTTTTGTGACACTGTCCAAGATTCTTTCCTCATCTTTGGACTGGGATCCTTCAGATGAACTTGAACGCTCTAGATCACTAGATCATGCCAGATAGCATAAGAAGCTAATGCAATCTTTGTTTTATCATAGCATGATCAGAGAAAATCAAATGGTGAGCATTGGCCTGGCCAGCTTTCGTTGCCTAATAGTCTCAATATACCATGTTTCTGATAATAGGTACATCCTGTGCACAGGTTTCACCTAATGTATTTATTTGTCACTTCTAGCTTGTATTGGTCTTTCAGATCTAAAGGAAACCCCTGTTGTGCATTTTTTTTCATGTATTTGCTGCCATTAGTGCAGCATCCTCTGAATGAATGAAATTCTCTTATTTATTTAAAAAAAAAAAAAAGAAAACTTGTAATGCCAAGTGAAGTTTGTTGATGTAATTAGTAGCTTATCTCCTGCTAGCTTGTCATGCATGAAGTGATGACAAACTTGTTAAATATACTAGGTGTATAGTACAAAGTTTGTTGAAGAGCAAGTTGCACAATAAGATTGCTTTGAATAAAGCCACAGTGCAGTACCACTTTCACACTGTTTTCTTTGAATTGATTAAAGCATATTTCAGACTTTCATCCGTGGAATACAATTGCGAAATTATCTTGACCTGTGCTGTGAAAAGTTTTGAGTACCTAAATTATTATTTCAGGTTCTATCCAAATTGTCAATATCTAAGTAGAATTGAACTCAATTTGTTACATTCTGCAGCAAATGATACGGAAAATATAGGTAGTAAGGTAGTAAGCCAGTAAAGCATACCATGCCAAGAGAGGTAGATGGGAACCGTGACCAACATTTTGAATTTGGAAAGGCCAGAGAAATACTTGGACAAATACATTATACATGGATTTAATGGGCATTCAGGTAGTAGATGGTTGTCAAATTATAGAATCAACATAAAAGAAGATGATAAATTGACGTCTGCAGAGCCTCCAAGGTCCAAAGTCAACTGCCCAAATCTAAAATAGAAATAGATGGAGCAGATCAAATGTCTGAGTCTGTCGACTAAATAATAATTTGTCACTAGCCCACCATCCAAGTTTTCAGCACCTTCTATCTCTGATTTCCAGTATACGTGCATGCGACTAATGAATTTGATCTTCTCTTATTAATGCTAGCATGATTTTCAACAGAAACTATACTGGTTATGGTAACAGATAGATCATAGGTGGCTAGAATTTATACTTCTGGGAAAGGCTGGTCACAGCTACTCTGTGGAGGGAGGATCTTCGCCATAGTGGTCAAAGGTCTCCCAGTGCCCTTTCCTCAGCATCATTATCATCATTTTCCTCCTTCAGTTTAAGTCCTTCACCCAACTTCTCAATTTCGCTTTTAAGGACTTCATTTACTTATCTTCAAATTCTCCAAGCAACAAATTACTTAAGCAAGTCCAATCTCATCAAGCAAGGTCAATCAGGGAATCTCTTTTATGGTGTTTTGGCAGGTGGGACTCAAGTAGTTGTTAAGCAAATTGATATGTCATTGGTTAAGAAAGAATTGTATTTCATTTCAGAATTGGTAGTACATGGGAAGTTATCTGATTCTGTATTTGTCCCTCTTCGGGGCATTGCTTGGACTCTGAAAATGAATAGTTTCTGGTTTTTAAGTATATGCCTAACAAAGACTTGTCAAGTTGTCTGCCCATGGAAGTTGTTTCAGATTATGATAAAGCATTACCATGGTTGGATTGGACTGTGAGGTTGAAGATTGCAAGTGAAGCTGCTGCAGCTCTGTCTTTTCTACATCACGAATGTGTTCCATCCCTTGTTCACAGGTAGCACAAGTATTTTTTCATTTAATGTGCTAGATTCCTTTATTCATTTTTATTTTTTCTGTTTAATAAGGAAGAGGGTTATTTGATTTTCAGATTATTGTGTTGTGGTGTTCACCTGGCATTCTTGTGTTTTGCTTCTTGTAGAGGTATTCAATCTAGCAGCATACTTCTTGATGACAAGTTTGAAGTGCGATCAGGAAGCCTTTGTTACATCTCTGATGAAGAACAAAGGATCAGTCAAGATAAGTTGCACTCTATAAGAATCAGTCGGAAAGCGATTCCCAAGTTCCTGCAGTTCCCAAAGTTATTAATGATGTGATACTTATTCTATTTTGACCAATATTTTGATAAAATATCAAAGTTTAGCCATGCCTTAGTAATTTAAATGGAGAAACAAACTATACAAGAAGAACTTGGGAAGTAAATTTTTCATTATTGTAGAGGCATAATTTTTGTTTTCAATTTCATTGGAAAAGTTGATGGATTTTGATGCAAGCAGGAGGATCCAAGCACAAAATGTTGGTACATGACTTATCTAGTGTGACAGAAACCTACCTTTGTATGGTGGAAGTTTGGCCTAGATCCTTGCCAATTTCATCATTACCTGAAAATTGAGTAGAGACAAAATGATATGTAGCCTGGCCAGCTATAAATGTCCTTAAGAAACTATGCTAAAATATGAGTAATTCATCCTTTTCAACCCCAGCTAGTACCTACATTTACCAGATTTTGCTATGAAGCTCACTGTAAAGCACTTGATTTAAGAAATATAGTTTATCGGCTACCAAAAAGTAGAACCTTTTGGAAGCTTGTCAGAAACTTACTCTTCTTCTCCATGCCACATGATACTCCATTTTTGGCCATACTTTAATCTTCAAGCCCCCAGTTTATCTGTCTCTCCGAGAACCAGTAGTGGATTTTTTTTTGTTTTTTTTTTTAAAATAGGGTACAAGGGTAGCCTATTCTAATGTGATTATTCTCTAAATCTACTATTGAATGGCCAGGTACAACTAACGCCATATGCTCCTATGATGTATTGCTTCAGAAAGGTTTTACTTGAATTAATTGCAGGCAAGCTGGGTTTCAGTGCTGATAATGAATCTGCCATCAAGGATTGGATGGAAAGTTCACTGTCTTATATAACTTCAGACAATAAGGACTTCGTTGTCAGGATCTTGGACCCGCCTTTAATAGTAGATAAGCATCTTCGGATGCAAGCATGGGCAGTTGCTCTTGTTGCTAAGGCCTGCCTTAGTCCCAAGCCTTCTAAGAGATCCCAAATGCCACATGTACGGGTGGCTTTGGAACATGTCACATCACCAAGCCTGGGTAATGGAAACTTTCAACCCACTGGTCATTTCAGGCCACTTGATCCAATTGATGATATTGCAAAGATCCTCGGGAGATCTGCACTAATAGGTGGACTAATGACTTTCTATTAGCAGTTCAAAAATTCAAAATTACATTGTTGTAGCAATTTGGGCATATGTTGCAGGAAAGACATACAAGGCAACCACAAATAGGACATATTTGGGCAACAATGTCTCAAGAAACCATGAAATCCTGGAACCTAGAGGGATCAATGAGCCTTGTCAAAATCCAGAGTTCCTGGCTCACCCCAATTTAACTGTGTTCTCTTTTCAAGAACTCATGGATGCAACCAGGAATTCTAGAACAATGGTTGGAGCTACAAAGCTTTGGACTATATACCAAGCTTGGCTTCATGAAAAATCCACGTCAAAGAGTGGCAGTGGTTCTGTAATTGCTGTTCGAAAATTGTACTCTCAGAATATGGAAGTATTAGATTTGTGTCAGGTAATTCAGCTCAACCTGTAAGTCGTGACTTATCTCAAGCTGATGTGTGAGAGCTGATATCTAATTTCATTAATTTTACCAAGTTCTTTTCCCTCCCATTTAAATATGGTTAAATTCTCATCCAAAACATAACATATTTGTTTCTGCTAATGTATACTGCCATCTTTTTGGAAACAGTATCAACTGATGCTGGTAATACTGTGCTGCTCTCTCGTTTCTTCGACATAGTAATTTCTCCAATTGTGGTCCAAATGGAGAACTTGATCTATTCTATTTCTACTGCTACAAACTTTTCTGAGCTGCTGTAACTGTTCTATTTTGCACATTCTTGAACAGTCACAGGCACACTTGCTTGGAAGCCTCTCTCATCCAAACGTAGTTGAGATCCTTGGATACTGTTTGAAGGGGAAAGAGCTATTCCTTGTTCATGAATTTATGCAACATGGAAGCTTGGAGAACCACCTCTTTAACAGTGAGATGTTGATTATGCAGCTTAAATGTTATCTTGAATAATCCTTCTGCATTAGCTACTGGTCAACTGGTAATAACATTCCACTCAAGATCTACTCTCGATTATTCTATTTACTTAGGGGGTTTCTTCCATTCAGTCACTTTCCTGGGACATAAGGCTGAAAATTTTGATTGAAGCAGCTCAAGGCCTGGCATTCCTGCCCTCAGACATATTGCTTGATGGTGTAAGATACATATTTAAATTGAAGAAGTAAAGTCAGTCGATCGCATGTGAAGTTGGTTTTTTTTTTTTTTTTTTTTTTTTTTTTTTTTTTTTTTAACTGAAGCTTGGAGGTTTCTGCTTAGAGTTCTATACTTCCATGTGCATGTCAAGTTTGATAATCAGTATAGATGACAACGAGCTTGATTATTAATCAATCTTTATAAGAGTTAACATTGTTCAATGAATTTGTTTAGTCTTACAATGCAAAGATGTTGGGTTTTGGCATAGCAAAAATAGATCGTCCAAAGCCCTTTGATGATGTGCATCTGCGTTTCTATAGTAAGAGAAGATGTGTCTATTCTGCTCCTGACTACTTCCTGACAGTACTATGCTACTGCTGACCAAAGTAAAGCTCGAAATGACATGCATGTCTAGACTTGGGACAAGTTCTTAGAAAGATTACAGATAAGGATGACATTATTATTCTACTAATTAACTCATATTTAACAGGGCTCATGAACACCAACAGTGACATATATGGTTTTGGTGTTGTATTTGGTGGAAACACTTACTGGTCTATCAGGGAAAGGCAAATATAGTCTACCAAGATTAGGTTCATGTGATCTGATTGAGTTTTTCAGGTCCCATTTGTCTGACAGAAGACAGTTGGAGAAAGTTTTTGATTCCCGGTTAGAAGAAAAATACCCCTTAAAAGGTGCACTGCATTTAGCTCTGCTTGCTCTAACATGCCTTGACCCTGAACCCAAAAGCAGACCATGGATGAAAGAAGTTGTGGAGACTCTTCAACACATTCAATCTGCTCCAGGAAAACCAAAAATCCATGGATAAACAGCTCATCCAACAAGGTCAAGAACGTTTCAGTCTTAGTCCTCCACTTGTACCAAGAAATCCAGGGCTAACCATAAACAAGATCAGCCAAAACTGTCTTTTAGACCTTAGCTTCCTGCTCTTCTGGCATGGTGTGACTGGTAGATGGATATCACAAAAAGTAAGGAACGACTCTCAGGCTCAGGTAAACAAACATGTCCTCTTTTGGGAAATATTTGCTTAAATTAATCTGGAAATAAAGTGGCCATCTTTGCAGGGATGGTATAGCTATTATGTGTTCCCAGCATTGCGGAGCGACTTGGTAAGACAGCATGTCATAGCAGATGGACCGTAGGCCTTCTTTCATCTTAACTTAAAACACATCCATGTCCTTATAGGCCATATCCCGATATATAGATTCATTAAGCAGGTTTTTCTTTTTTTGGGATGAATGCCCTTCCACAATTTTTAAGGCAGGTCAAATCAATGAAGCCTATAATTGCAATCTAATAGCTCTGCATCGATTGGTAACTGTTCACGGTATAACTATGTGTTTGTCCACGTCTCTCAGAATGTACAGTCCATCTTTTAGTTCCTGAACTCTGAAGACCAAATAAAAACTTCTATAGCAACAATACGGATTTTTGTGATTCTTTTATTGATTTATCTTTTTGGATTTCATCGTTTAGCTGTCCAGCTTTCCTTTACACGTGCACATGGAAATTTCACAATGTCGTGGATAATTGTCTCCCAGCCTGAGCATGTAGTGCATTGTTTCTTGCTGAATATTCTGAATCTTTCATTTACTTTTTGAGTATGTGCAATGAGGCATTTGATATGGCAAATCAATCATCCACGTGATCTTTTATAGTTTGGATTGTTGATCTTCAAAAGTGCTATCTTATTGCTAATTGTTAGACAACTCTTTTAAGGCTTTGTTTCATTCAGAAAAAGGTGTTCACGTAAGTGGTTTAAGTGATCAGATAGTATTTCTGAAGCTGAGGCATCCTTTGGCGGCTAAATAACCACTTAGAATATAAATAGCCTATTTATATTCTAACCTTTTAAACTACTTGGATGGACGGATCAAGAGCAGAAAATCCTTTTTCAAAAGCAAATCAGATCACATAAAATGCAATCAAAGGAGTCACCAAATTCTGAGACATGATTTAGATTTCCAGATTAAGAGCCTAAATGAATCTATCTCATGTAACAGAAAAAGCATCACATGAATATTAAACACACTTAATTGGTGATAGACAGGAGACAGACCATATCTGTTCGAAGTTATCACAGTTAAGAAAACTTTCTTTGGCAATGATTCAAATAAAGGGTATGAAATAGTTGGAATATACAATGTGGGTAGAATTGAATGCATAGATGCCATGCAAGTTCTTGGAAAAACTTCAGTTGCCATCATCCTTCACAAGCTTGCATGCAAATAATGGAACATTAAATGCAATAACAATTATGTCAATGATATCTTTTTCTTGTTTCAGTAGTGTATTCTAAAATATTCTATCCTGATTGATTGAAAGCTGTTGTCTTAACTGGCTCTCTTTGTTTGTCTGTGTTGCTATGTTTGCATTGTGTTTTCGAGGATGATAGCAAGTTTTGAACCACAACCAGACATTACAATTTTTTTGACATTAACGTGTCCATGCTCTTTCCAGACAATGACTTAGATAGGTGTTCGAACAATTGCACGTCCGTTTTGCCAAGGAAAGACCAGGAAATGCAAGAAAACAAAACAAAAAAGAAAAGGAGTTGCAGGAAAACCGAAAAGAAAAAACTAAGATCATATACGGATTAATGTCATTTTGATTGATTAATGTCATTTTAGATGAGGTCATCTAAGCATCATAAGGGCATCCACAGTGGTTTACACTCTTTAGAATGTGTAATCTACATGCCACATAAGTATTTCACTTTTTCCTCTTTTATTATACTTCTACTCACAATAGATTACATTTCACAAGGTGTAATAGCATGGGTCCATAATTAAATCAAACATTTATTTTAATAATGTACAACTCATATCCCATAAATAAATAAAGTAGTTTTTTAAAAAAATAATTTTGTTATTTTTAAAAAATAAAGTATTAACTTTCATTAAATTTGTTACCTTTTGGATTTTTTATTTTCTAAAAAATAATAATATTAATTTCCAAGTTTGAACAATATATCTTTTTCTATCTCTCAAAAATAATATATTGTTATTTTCTAAAAAATAATTATGTAATTATTAAACAAATATGTGATACCTCAAATGCGAAGATATCATAATAATCCATATTTAATTAATAATTCTTTATGTAATTAGTTGAACTCCATGACATAGTATTACATAATTTAGATCAAACAAAATACAAATAATAACATAATGAATACTAGTTTTCATTGTTATTGCCTCCAAATCGTTCCCAAATATGCTCAACCAAGTTCGATCGAAATTGATGATTTATTTCTCAATCACGTAATTCCGCGTTTCTCTAAAGGTAATATTGAAAATTTTCGGCCAATTCTTAAGTCACAAGAATCGTTCGATCGTTGCAGCTTCAAAAAATTTTGTCCATTGCTGACACTGATCCACTATTATACACAGTATCAGAATGATGCATGTAATGAGCATTATACGGCTACAATGGGTGGCCGTGTAATGGGCAGTATCATGGGAGGTATAACTCCGCGGCAGATGCTCTGAGTTACTAGGTACTAGTACTTGGGTTGATGGCTACCCAATTTAAAAACTCAAACCGTCCAAAACACGTTTACGTCTTTTTCAGGGAACACTCAACTAATCCAGCACAACCCATAACAATGGTTACCCAAATTAAAAACTCAAACCGCCTAAGACTCGTTTGCGTCTTTGTCATCCAACAATGGAAATTTTGGGATAAAGGTCCTCTGGTGACAGTGACATGCAGTTAGATGTAGGATGTAGACACTAATTTAGTAAATATGGCTACTAACAAAATAAAGTGAACAAACACAAGAAATTTTTTCTATCATTGAAATATGCGTCCCAAATTTGTTCGATTTTTACATGTTGATGTGTTGATATCTACATTTGTTGTTAAGGATAGCAATAGAAGTGAGTGCCTACTCTGTAGGGAAGGAACGAGACAGGAGTTGGGGTGGATGTTTCCCCGCCCCACTTAAATTTTGATATGGTATAACATATATGTATATTTTAATATGTATAATACAAAATAAATGCTACGTTATTGTTATTATATAAATATATTTATATGAAATAAATAACATAACTTGTCATGACAAAATGATGTAATTGTTTTTTATTAAAACTTCAAAAGAATGATTAATAAAATTATTATAAGATTTATATAGATGAAAAAAGTTTAATTAAATAAAAATAATAATGGTAGTAGGGCGGAGCGGGTGTATCACAAGGGTGGTGGAGGGAGGGGGGTTTGGAAAATGAGACATTTCCTTGTCCTAAAATCACCTCATTGTCATCCCTATTTATTGTTTTAGTGTCTATATTTATTTTGTTCGAATTCATCCTACTGTCGCCATTGGTGACAGCAGAGGACCTGATCCGTTATGTTGCTTTGCTGTCACCAGACATTTTGAAAGTTCCCAACGTCATCTGGGAGCAGACCATTATATTATATCACGAATAGTGCCATTAGAAGCTCTAGAGCTGATGCTGATCTCTTTATTGCTGAACCTCTTGACCAAAATTTGCAGTTCCTCTGTAACACCATGAAACATATGTCCAGTATCTGCAAGGCCAGTTCTTATGAAGTTGCATGTTGCAGTGTTTCTCTCTTTTTTGGCTGCCAATCTCATATGGTTGACCTCTTTAATTGAAACTATGAAAGGGCTGATGCTGATCTCTTTATTGCTGAACCTCTTGACCAAAATTTGCAGTTCCTCTGTAACACCATGAAACATATGTCCAGTATCTGCAAGGCCAGTTCTTATGAAGTTGCATGTTGCAGTGTTTCTCTCTTTTTTGGCTGCCAATCTCATATGGTTGACCTCTTTAACTGAAACTATGAAAGGCACTCTTCAAGAAAGAACCAAGCAGATGTTGGTTGGCTTTGTTTGACCTTTCGCAATCATTTGTTTCATTAAGAATATTTCCACTTGGATGCAAAAGCAGAATGATGCAATAGCATAATCCTTCACATGCCACCACATCTCACCTAGTTTTAACATGCATGGACAAAGAAATATCTGACTTACCTATGATTGAGCAATTTACATAATTCTTAATTAGCCATTAGGCCTCCATGTACTAAGCTGCTGTCTACCTGGCTGTTTGTTTTTGTTCTTGTTTCTTTGGGTATTAACTCTGTCTTGTATTTTGCTCATAGTTCTTGGTATTTACCTATAATTTACTTATGATTCAACATGAAGGGAATTTCTGGTCTCGGATTTTAGGTAGAAGTTTGAGAAGAAAGAAAATGTTAACCATTATTAATATATCGATGGACATTATCATTGCTTACAAACAAAAAGAGATGGGGTTGATGAGGAGATATTTAAGGATTAGTAGTCCAGGACGTTGTTTTACCAGCTTTACTAAAAGAGAAATTGGATAGGTTTTAATGGGAGTGTTTAGAAAGCAGAAAAAAGGCAAGAAACTGGATTTTCTATACAAGACTAACAGTAATAGGAATGACGTTATACAGATCATGGTTCAAAGTTGCGGTCGTGGTCCGAACTGTTTCACATCGTTTTGGCATATTGGTCACAATCTCGACGAGAAACAAATTTTTGAAATATTTAATATTCTAAAAACTGTAAAAAATATAATAAATAAAAATAAATAAAAAATTAGTAAAATAATAAAAATTCGAATTGATTCAAGATAATTCGGAATAAATCGATGTAATTCGACCGTTACAACGCTTCGTGGCTTCTCAGCGAGTCAAATTTCTCAGAATTGCAGGGAACCACGAACACGAGGGATTGGGTGGCCTCTAGGGAATATCCGTGGTATTAAGTGAAACTACAGGACAATATAATACATGTACACAGACTAGTTCAAAGTGTTTGCGAGAAGACTAGTTGATTAGCTTTCAAAGTCAACTGAACAATGCACCGACTAGTTCAAACATTTCTGCATCATAAGTTTCCAATTGAACCTGAGATCATCTGAATTTGATGATTTGTCACCATTAATTACCTGATTTTCAATCGGAAACTGATGATAGTCATGATCGAAAGATCAATAGATGCCTAGGAGTTGTGATAATTGGGAAAGGCTGGTGACAGCCGTCCTGAGAAGAGAAGATCTCCGATTCACCGGTCAGAGGACTCCAAGTGAGCTTTCCTTGGCATCATTATCATCAATTTCGTCCTTTAATCTAGCTTCTTCCTCTCGCCGAGTTTCATCTTTCAACTTCAACAACTTATTCGCGGGGGTTTCATTTACACGTCTTCAAATTCTCCAAGCAACGGATTACTTGAATGAGTCCAAGCTCATTAAGCATGGTCTCTCGGGTGATCTCTATGACGGAGTTTTAGAAGAAGGGACTCGAGTAGTAATTAAAAAAATTGATCTTTCATCAGTCAACAAAGAATCCCTTTTCATAGCAGAGTTGGAAGTTCTTGGGAAGGTTTCTCATCATCATAGATTTGTCCCTTTCCTTGGCCATTGCTTGGAGAATGGAAATGAGAAGTTTCTGGTTTACAGGTACATGCCTAACAAGGACTTGTCAACTTGTTTGTCCAGGAAAAATATTTCAGGTAATAATACACAATCACCATTCCTTGACTGGATAACGAGGTTGAAGATAGCAACTGAAGTTGCTGAGAGTTTGTATTATCTACATCATCAGTGTGTCCCTCCCCTTGTCCATAGGTAATAAATATTCTCATCATTTTAGACCAAGCACAGATTTTTTTTTTTTTTGAAAAATAAATAGTATAAGCTTAAGTCCTCTTTTGATTCGTGTAGAGACATTCAAGCAGGCAGCATACTTCTCGACGACAAGTTTGAAGTGAGGTTAGGAAGCCTTTATAAAGTCTGTGCTGAAGAAAAAGACATTGCTCCGAATACCATTGCTAGGTTAGGGTGGTACTTCTGATACTCTCTCAACTTTATGTGGGATTTCTCTTTGCAATATAGCAATGCCCTGCTAATGAAGACTGCAAATTCTTTATAACAAAGGAAGAATATTTGTCAGTTAAAAGAGTAATTTGATAAAATTCATAGTGATTCTAATGCAAGCATCAGCTAGGGAGTTGAAAACATTTGTCTGAAACATAGATACTCCTTCAAGACATATTTAAGCACTCTACAGCAAGAGCTACGCGTCCTATCTACCATAACTTAGCTTAAAAATTTCTGGCTGGATATCAGCATTGCTACTATCTAGTATCCATGATTTGCTGTCACATCTACCACTTTGTTCAACAATTTCTGTGCTTAGGATGAAAGGTGGCCAGAAATAAACTTCTTTATTTGAAATATATATGTACTTTTCGAGGGATTGACAACTCTGCCTTATAAACTTGAGACTTTTTGATGCTCCTCAAATTTCAGATGTTTATTTGTTAGACTAAGGATAGATTCTGCTTTTCCATGAGTGTACAATATGTGGTATTTGGGAATCGCTAAGCTATGAAACTGCAACTTTCCACTCTTTTGCTTACTGCTAACTTGTGAGTTTTATTTCTGTACTAAGTTTGTGACATTCTTTCTTCTGTTATACAGGGGATCCAACCAAGGCACTCCTGGTATGTAGAGGATACTTGTAAACCATGTTCTGTTTATCATTCCACTTGAATCTGTTCAAATGACATGGTGTATGAAGCCAATTTTGGATTACGTGAGGAGATTGCTCAGTAGTCACAAGAAATGAACATTACTCAAAGACGTGTTAGTTTAATAGAAACTGCCTCGGCTTCAGTTCAGATTCAAGTTTGTATTCTTGCACATGCCAGATTCTGCTAGAAAAGCCTCACAATAGTCCCCACTTTTGCCTTTTGTGTCATATTTGGAAAAACCATTTGGCTTGACCATGTTCCAGAGTTGAGCATCATAAGGCAGTTAGGAATTGATCTTCCCCAATAACAGAAGAAATGATTGAAGAAAATTAGTACAACTTTGCAATTAAGTTACGCAAATATTATTTTTTGTTCCAAGAATGAGGTGAAATATTTCCAATTTAGGTGTTACCATCAGCTACTTGTTAAGCATTCCAAATCATATTATCTTGAATGGCCAGGTACATCTAATGCAAGTTATGCAACGTGTGCCTATGATGTTTATAGCTTTGGGAAAGTTTTGCTCGAGCTAGTCACGGGAAAGCAGGATTTTAGTGCAACTGAAAATTCCATCATGAAGGATTGGATGATAAAAGCGCTGGCTTATATCATTCCTGATAAAGAGGAACTCCTTATAAACATTGTGCAGTCGACTTTATCCTTGGATAAGCATCTTTTGTCCCAAGTATGGGCAGTTTCATTTATTGCTAAGGCATGTCTCAGTCCTGAATCTTCTGAAAGGCCCAATATGGCACAGATACTTTTAGCCTTAGATCATATTATGTCAGCAAGGTTTGGTGATGAAAATTTCAAGCCTATTGGTCATCATGGCTCAGTGAGTACAGCTCTGGTGATTGCAAAGATACTACAAAGATCTCAAATAGTAGGTTGGTTTATGACTCTCTTTAGCAGTCTAAGAAATTTGATATGATAAATGCTGAAAAATAAGTGTATCTTGCAGGACGGAGGCCAAAGGCAACTGGCAATGCAACGCTAGGCAGCCGCACCGCCTTAAAAGAGGGTTATCAAAATGAGGGCATCTTTGTTCATCCCAAATTGACTATTTTCTCTTATTCTGAACTCATGGTTGCAACCAGAGGTTTCAGGAGTGATGCAGTGCTGAGAGAAGGTGAATTCAGTGCAATAACCCAAGCTTGGCTTCAAGACAAATCCACATCAAAGAGTAGCAGTGAAGCACTAGTTGCTGTTAGAAAATTTTACTCGCAGAATATGCTACTATTAAATGATTGGCAGGTAGATTAACCCGCAAGCAGAAACTACCACTTCTCTGACAAAATTTTGCAGTTCATTTGGAACCCAATTTCCTTTTGGCTCACAACTGTTACTCCAAATTTCAATTGGTCTTTTCTGGCTCTTACAATACTAGAACATAATCTTCCTACACTTTCTGCAAATGTATGCTATCATCTCATCTCCCCTTTAAGGAATTTATTGTTGGCATCGACGTGGTAATTGCATTAGATGAGTCTAGTAACTCCTCCAAGTATATAGTGAAGAAGTCTAACTTGCTTTGTCCAATCTTTTCTAAGTCACATTTTCTTGAGCAGTCTCGGGTATGCTTGCTTGGAAGGCTCTCACATCCAAACTTAGTCGAGTTCCTTGGATATTGCTTGGAAGACAAAGAGCTATTCGTTGTTCATGAATATATGCAAAATGGCAGCCTAGAGAACCATCTCTTCAGAAGTGAGGTTTAGATTATTAATAGGCTCTAATAGTTACTCAGACTAACTAAGCATCATTTACTGACAGTAAGCTTCAGATGAAATAATTTTACTTTGACGTGTTTAGCAAGCTCCGATGTTCGGCCACTTTCATGGGACATAAGAATCAAGATTCTAATTGGAGCAGCTCGAGGCCTGGCATTCTTGCATGCGGCAGAGTGGCAAGGTTACTATGAATACTTCGGCACCTCAGACATCTTGCTTGATGGTGTAAGTTAAAATCTATTTGCGCAATGTTCTCGTGAAATCTATTTGCCAAAAATTACAGGTTTCTGTACTTATCAGGGCTACATAAAGTTTAACATGAATGCTGAGTTTTTTCTTTGAATTATTGATGTCAATATCTATTACCAATGAAAAACTCATTTTCTTTGGATTTTGGTCATATTTTTTGTTGACAGTCTTACAATGCCAAGATATCAGGTATTGGCACAACAAAGATTGTTCGTCGAAAAGTCTTTAATGAAGAACATCCTCTTTGGTATAAAAGGGGAAAGTATTTTAATGCTCCTCCTGAGTATGATCTGAGAAAAAATATCCCAACAGGTAATATTGCCAGCTTGACTGTTTGAGCTTTTAAAATTGAGCCCACTACTGAGTAGTCACCAAAGTTAAGCTCTTGGACATGCTCGATTGGATTTAAAACAAATTTGAGTAACAAAAGAAAAATGTTATAAATTCTAATCATCAACTCATATGTAACAGAGCTTATGAATGTGAAGGGCGATGCGCTTGGTTCTGGTGTGGTATTGGCTGAAATGAACGTGAAGGGCGATGTGTTTGGTTTTGGTGTGGTATTGGCCGAAATGCTAACAGGTTTATCTGCAAAAGGTAGATATCGACTTGGTTGGAGAGAGCACTATCTGGTTCCATTAGAGTACCATCTGGTTCCATTTTTCAGGTACCATATGAGGAAGAACCCATTGGAGAAAATTATGGATCCACAATTAGAAGGAAAATATCCAGCAGAAGCTGCTCTAGAATTAGGATCTCTTGCTTGTTTATGTCTTCAAGATGAACCTGAATCCAGATTATCAATGAAAGAAGTTGTGGAGATATTAGAATGCATTGTATCTGCTAAGGAGTAAGCAGAAGAGCCCAGGACAAATCGGACAGCTTATAATCATGACCACCACCTTCAGCATTCTTAGTTTTCCACTTCTGCAAAGCATTGGCGGAAATCCGTCCCATAAAAGCTGAACTATTGCTTTCATAACTAAACGTAACAGATCCTTAAATATTTTTGTCCTGATTAGTTGGTTGATATGTAATCTGTTCGTTCTTTCCTTTTTGTAGTCTCAGCTTCGTTTTGTTTGAAAGGTTAAGAGTTACACTGGCTTAAAAGCAAGTTCTCCGAAGAATCAGTTCGGACCAAAGAGTGCATACCTACACAATGAATTAGTTTAGCATTCAACAAACAACTAATTGTACACTGAATTGACTTTGAAAAAAATGTAAGTGCAATTAGAGTCTGAAGTAATACAAGATAATAATTTGTTGGATTGAGTCCTTCAATCTCATCCATGATTCAAAGTCACGGTTGTGGTTGTGGTTGCGGCCCGAACCGTTCCACATCGGTCTTGGTATATCGGTCTCGGTTTCGGCGAAACGCAAATTTTTGAAATATTTAATATTATAAAAATTGTAAAAAAAATGATAAACAAAAATAATTAAAAAATTAGCAAAAATAATAAAAATTTGAGTTGACTCTGGATGACTCGGGACAACTAGGCCGTTTCTATCCGTTTCGGAGATGTTTCAGCCGAGTTTTCGATGATTCATTATCTCAAAGTTATCTCGTCTCGGTATCGGATCAAGAAGCCTTGTTCCGGTGACAACTCGGCTGAGTCATCCCGGGCTCAGTCGAGTCTTTGAACCATGGTCTCATCTTTAGATTACTGATGAAGGACAATTAACATGGTGTTGTGAAAATCAACCGTCAGAGAAAAAAATGGAGTTTCATAATGGGACTGGAAAGGAAAGGGGAGTGTAGTGAGGAAAAAGTACTCAGGAAGATCATATCCACAGGTTAACTTTTCTGGCAAAGATTGTTGTAACTCTGACTCGATGACTGGATAGGAATTTGTTCTTGGAGACATCAGATAAAAGAGAAGGGGAGGGGAACTACACTCTAGGCCCTTCTTGCTTAAGGATTCTATGTATCATTTGATAGAACGTCATCAATGGTTTAATGTTTGAAGTGATGGCGCATTTGTTCTCTTCTGAAATGTGGAGAATATAAGGAAACAGTCAATTTTCAGTTCATTCAGATACCAAAGCTGGAATTTCGAGCCCGATTTGGTGCCTGATCCTGTAGGGAAATTTTCCCTTACTCTCTGAACCTGATCTGGCCCAAGATTTGGTTTGAAACAAACAGGAATATAGTGCCATGAAAAGCTCTAGAGCTGATCTCTTTACCACTGAATCCCTCGTCTGAAATTTGTTGTTTCTTTACAACACCATGAAACATATGTCCAGTATCTGTGAGGTCAATTATTCTGGTGAAGTTGTTCATCGCACCCATGAGTGTGAAGCAACGAATGGGTGTTTTTGTATCTTCCACCAAAAGAAGCAACTAGCTCCTCTAATAGGGAACTGCCATTCTCAAAGAAGAAGAGTGATCTTTCTTGTTTCCTAAAAATTGGTAGTAGCATTTTCAATTCTTCGTTCTTTGGTTCACTAGGAGGTTGCAGTGGGATTCAATTAAACGAGACAGTGAAATATTTAAAATTTTGGAAGAAGTATGAACAGAACTAGGAGCTGCCAATCTCATATGGTTGACTTTTTGAGTCTCATATGGTTGACTTTTCTCAAATAAAACTATTAAAGGCACACTCTTCGAGAAAGAACCAAGCAGATGCTAGCTGGCTTTGTTTGAACTTCGGCAAACATTTTTTTTTATATAACTAAATGAACTTGTAAATACTAAATGACAAGTTGTAAAATCTAATAAAAAAAGCAAGTATAAAAATCACAAGTAAATCAAACATTTTAACTAAGTGTAAGTTTGAATCAAAAGATGTACATTAGATGAGTAAACCGTCAGACTAATGACAAAAAAAAAAAATCACAAGATTCATGAACATATAAATAAAGTGTAATATCAAATCATATACAACTAAACAAAGAAATATATAAAAATCTATTCCTTAAAAGTATAACGATTGAAGAGAAATGAAGTACATGGTAGTCATGTAGGGATAATTGGTGACTTGACAAGTGACATGACATTTATTATAACAAGAGAACAAGTTATTCAAAGAATTGATGAGTGATTAACTCACAGTAAAAAAAAAGGTTGGGCAGGTTTCAATTTGACACGTTATAATAAGATTTTGACATTAAGATCTCAATATAATGTGTGGCGGCGAGCACATGAAAAATTGTGCCGAGTAAATAAATAGGAAGCGGCTAAAGGAGAAAAAGTAAGACAGATAATCCACTTTTCTAATAACAATACTATTTTTCAAATTAGGATTCTTTACTAATTTAAGCATTGTAGTGTATTCCAGGGGAGATAACCCCATTTTTTTTTTTTTTATGGGTTTTCTACTCTAGACGAATTCATCAAGGCTCGAGTGTGTACAAGGAGGTGCTAGGTTTTATTTTTCCAACGAGCATTTTAACTAACACTATTCCTGAGGCAATTTTCATTTGGTTTACTCTTTACATATTATCACAAGGGGTTGAGTGGCCATTTTTAAATCATAGGGGGGATTCCGTGGTATTAAGTGAAACCACGGGTACATATATACAAATTAGTTCAAAGTGTTCGTGAGAAGACATGTTGATTCGCTTTCAAAGTCGACTGAATAATATGCCAACTAAAATATTTCATTCTCCCAGTTGTCTACATCACAAGTTTTCAACTGAAATACATTGCTGCTCTTATTAAAGAATTTAATGGTTTATTACTATTGATTACATGATTCTCAAAGGAAAGTATGATTCTAGTGATCGATAGATCATAGATGGGTAGGAGTTATGACAACTGGGAAAGGCTGGTCACGGCCACCCTGCGGAGAGAAGACGACCGCATCATTGCTCAGAGGACCCCAACTCCAAGCGAGCTTTCCTTGGCATCATTATCATCATTTTCCTCCTTTAATCTTGCTTCTTCCTCTTGCCGAGTTTCATCTTTCAGCTTCTCCAGCTTATTGGCTGGGGAATTGTTTTCATACAAGCAAATTCTCCAAGCGACGGATTGGTTTAGTGAATCTAACCTCATCAAGCATGGTAGCTCTGGGGATCTCTTTTATGGAGTTTTGGAAGGAAGAACTCAAGTTGTAGTTAAGAAAATCGATCTTTCATCGGTCAACAAAGAATCCCTTTTCGTGTCAGAGTTGGAAGTTCTTGGAAAGGTTTCTCATCATCATAGATTCGTCCCACTGGTTGGTCAATGCTTGGAGAACGCGAATGAGAAGTGTTTGGTTTACGAGCTTATGGCCAATAAGGATTTGTCGACTTCTTTGTCTAGAAAAATTGAATCAGGTAATCGAAGAAAATTACCATTCCTGGACTGGATAACAAGGTTGAAGATAGCAACTGAAGTTGCTGAGGGCCTGTCTTATCTACATGAATGTGTCCCTCCCCTTGTTCACAGGTAGCAAAGTTTTTCCTCACTAATTTTGTGCCCAGCAGGGTTTTATTATTTGCATTATTATATTGGTTTTTGGAACGTAACCTGCAGCTTATCTTTACTATTTTAGCGACATTCAAGCAAGTAGCATACTTCTTGATGACAAGTTTGATGTGAAGTTAGGAAGCCTTTATGAAGTCTGTGCTGAAGAAAAAGACATGCGTCAGACTGCTACTTTCAGGTTTGTGCAGTAGCCTAAGTTAATATTTCTTGTGTTCATTGTGGCATCCTTTCAGTATTTCTCTAGAATTATCTGTATTTTAGTTTTTGTGGTTGCAGAAAAAGAGATAAGTGGCATGTGAGTAATTATATCTAAAATTCTTTACGAGAATGAAAGCGTATCTATAAGTTAAGAAATTAATATAAGCATCAGCAACTGAGTCAAAATGATTGCAGCAATGATTCCATTTCTTGTTTTGACATCGGTAGACATCATAGTTGTAGGTTGAGGGTATCCGGATTCGGCGTGTAATGCTAAAAGATCAAATTAAGAGAGTGTATGTTTAACCTGATCCCTTTCAACAAAATTTATTGGCAAAGCAGTCTATTGTATCAAGCCAAGCTTAGCCTTATACTTCACTGGCATAGCATCACGATTGCAACATCCCTGAATAGCCATCTGCCCTCTTGAACATGGAAAAGGGACCAAGAATTAACATCTTTAGTTGATATGACTTCTTTCAGTTGGATTGACACTCTATGCTCTTGAGATTTTACATGTGAGACTGGCGTTACATTCTTCTTTTCCATGATTCTACAAGTATTTGGTTCCTGCAGGGTGTCTTAGCCATGCCTGCAAAAGTGAAATTAACCATTCATTCTTTTGCTTACCCAGTTTTCGAATTTTACTTCTGATTTGTATTCATTCTTCCTGTACACAGGGCATTTGGAGAAGGCACTTTTGGTAAGTAATTTTCATTCAGTTTTAGTTCTACACCATCTGATAGATTATTCCAAATGGTTGAATCAGCATAAAGGATACATAGTGTAACCTTAAATACTTAAGAGTTCAGTTCAAAAAATTGTATATTCTTTATTCTAGTATAGACCTGATTTTGCTAAAAGAACCTCATATGTAGATGTATATGCTATACCATACAAGGAAAAACCGTCTTTATGAGCATTTTACGGTAATAAGGATACATGGAGCAGTATTGGACTGATATTCCCTGTTAAAAGAAGGAAATGATAGAGATATTGAATAGAATTTTCCAATTCAGTTAAGGGGTTGCTTTTCTTCCCAATGTTACATGACAATTGCTAAAGTAAACAGAACCATTATTGCTCTCAGCTGCAGCACCAACAACTTCACTACGACAAGATATCAAGAGGGCATCAGTCATTTGGGACCAAGAAGCTGGTAGGTATGTTTCTGTCCCAGTTCCAGCTTCAGATACACGTGGTAGATCATTACTTCCGGAAGGGTCAAAGACAAGAACAGGACTAAAAATGGATGACAAGAGGCCAGTAACTTTTTTGTCTCCCGGTAATCATTAGTGAATTTCATTTAGACAGTTAAAATGGTTGCTAATGTGCTGCATAATCTTGTCTAAATTAGTCTATTATCTTAAAAGATCAGGTACATCTAATGACAGTTATGCATCATGTACCTATGATGTTTATAGCTTTGGAAAGGTTCTGCTTGAGCTAGTCACTGGAAAGCTGGGTTTAAGTGCCACAGATGATTCCGCATTGAACGGTTGGATGGAAAATGTGCTGTCT